CAGGGTAGTTTGATTTTAGTAGGATAATAGGTCGGCACAACATCGTGGGCCGAAAGACCTGTACTGTTCTATGTTCTACCTGCACATCACTTGTAAACAAAAATCCATCAATTTCAGATTTAAATTTAACAACTGATCTAGAATGGACTGCCATTTGTAGGTGTGTTTGGAAGAATGGGGAGGGATCTCATAGAAGCCTCTAAAATTCTAACAGGATTGACTGGGTAGATGCAGGAAGGATATTCTCGATGACCGGGAAGTCCAGAATCGGGGTCACAGTCTGAAGATGCATTTAGGATTGAGATGAGGAAAAGCACCCTCACCTAGACAGCAGTGAACCTGCAGAATTCTCGGCCACAGAAAGCAGTTGAAGCCTAAACGTGATATGTTTTCAAGAAGGAGATAGATATAGTTCCTAGGGCTAGAGGAATCAAAGGGTATGGGGAGGAGAGGAATCAAAGGGTATGGGGAGGAAACAGGAACAGGGGACGGAACTGGATGATTAGCCATGATCACATTGAATGGCACAGCAAGCTCAAAGGGCTGAATGGCCTAATCCTGCTCTTATATTCTATGTTGGTGTTTCTCAGAGTTCCAAACCCCAAATGCTTGTGCACCTGGAAACATTTCCTAATTTCATTCCTGAAAAAGGTGTGGCTCAAATCTAAGTGCGTCCCCTGGTCCTTGACGTCACAGGGAGTAATATGTTTCCCCATCTACATCTCCCAGAGTGATTCAGACATCCACGCACATCTTAAAATTAGCTTCCTGTCATCAATCCACTGATGACAATTCTGCATCTGATTACTACCTCGGCTTTTTAAATGGTTGCTCAACGAGGCAGTGGATTTACTTTATCGTTAATTACCCACTAGGAGCACACAAATGTTGCAAGTCCCTAAAGATGTTGGACCATGATGCAACTGTTCACAGGATATTGGTTTATTACAGCTGGTCGACTGCGAAACTTAACACCACTCTTTTAGAAGCACAATCTGAAAACCTGAACCGAATCCAAAGGGACCAGGGGCTGTTTAGTTGGATTTTAACATTTGCCACTGTGGGAGGGGTTTTCTCAGTTGATAGCACCACGGCCTCCAGTGACTCCCAGGTGTTCCTCAGCCTGCTCAAGTACATGCTATCCTTGATGTCAGCGGCAAACACAGAGCCAGCTCCCATATGAATGCTGATGACGTCTGGCTTTATCCCTCCATTGCATCTCTCAAGCTGCATGCTCAGGGCACAGCAGTGGCAGAGTCACCATTTCCTCTCTGGCCAAACACCGGAGCCATCAGCATCACTTCCCAGTGCAAACACTTCTCCAGCCACCATCATCTCCACCCATTTCCCCCAGTCAATGGTCCATGCTTCACTTGAGCACTTTCTGACGGTCCCATCTCACCCACGCTCCGTCCGGCATAAAGACCACCTCCTCTGTGGATAGCAGAGTGGCACAGTGGGACCGTGCTGGGTTTATAACTCAGAGGATGAGGGATCAAAGCCATCTTCTACCATTTTGGGACAGCACGGTGGCTCAGTGGTCAGCACTGTTGCCCGGGTTCGATTTCAGCCTTCAGCGAATGTCTGTGCGGAGTCTGAATGTTCTCCGTGTCTGAGACAGTTTCCTCCCACAGTCCAAAGATGTGCAGTTTAGGTGGATTAGCCATGCTAAACTGCCCATCAGCGTTTAGGATGGAAAAATGCAGGGATAGTGTAGGGGTGGGATGCTCTTCAGAGGGTTAATGTGAACTTGATGGGCCGAATAGCCTCCTTCCACACTGTAGGGAATTCTATGATTCTATGTAACATGACCTGAGGTCTCGTACATCTTCAGATTCGATTAACCCTACACTGACAAAGTTGCCATCCTCACCCTACATAATCTCCCCGATTCATCTAAACCTTGGTTTCCTCTATTGCTTCCCAACCACTAGCATTATCTTGCCCATTTGAGACATTTAGTGACTAGGAAACGACAATAAAGCCTACAAGGCAGGCACACTGGTCCAACCTTTCTGCAACATGGAGCTCCACAAGAACCAGTATATTCATTTCCCAGCATTACTGCTTTATCCTTTTGGGGAGTCCACTGTGTTCAAGGCCTTCAGCACCTCAGCTCTCCTACCTCCACATTCTCCAATTATGGCTTCTTATACCTTCTGCCTTCCCACTGCCACGCTTCATAGAATCCCTACAGTATGGAAGCAGGACCTTTGGCCCATCAAGTCCACAGTGACCCTCCGAACAGCATCCCACCCAGACTCAACCCCCTACCCTATTCCTGTAACCCTACATTTCCCACAGCCAATCCACCTAACCTGCATGTCCCTGGACACTATGGGGCAATTTAGCATGGCCAATCCACCCATCTTTGGACTGTGGGGGGAAACTGGAGCACCCGGACAAAACCCACGCAGACACAGGGAGAATGTGCAAACTCCACACAAACAGTGGCCAGAGGGTGGGTTCGAACCCGGATCCCTGGTGCCGTGAGGCACTGGTGCTAACCGCTGAGCCACTGTGCCAGCCAATGCTCAGCATAATTTTGTGGAGCCATCCCCATACAAGGCACTTTAGACTTTTCTAAAATTATTTCTTTCGTTGGCATTTGCTGGCCATCTCTAATTGGCCTTGAATGGAATGGTTTTCTAAGCCATTCCAGAAGGCAGTTAAGAATCAACCACCCTCCATTGGCCAGATCATCATTCAGCAGCGTCCAAGTGTCCTTTTTGTTAGGGTTAGTATCAATGATCCTCACACCTCGGTGAAACGATTGGGGAATAACAGATGCTCATAATAAGTGCAAAAGTCTGTAGCCTTTGCAGCACTGGGCTCAAGATTTCTTTTCTAATCTCCTGTTCAGTGATGTTAGGACACAGGTCTGGAGCATGTGGGACTTAAACCCAGGCCTCCTTGTTCAGAGGCAGAGGCACTACCACTGCCCAAGTGCCCCGGATCAAGATTATTGCACATCTTTCACAAAATATCAAGCCCAGCATTTAGAAGGGCCTCAGGAGAAGTAAGTGACATGTCCTTTCAAGGGAAGCAGGAGACAACGAAAGTCCCTATTTCCCCCCAATTCCAAAGGGCTTGGATTTATACAGCACCTTTCACGCCTATTGGATGACTCAAAATGCTTCATGGCCCATTAAGTACTTTTCTTGATGCATGGACACCTTTGTAATGTAGGAAATGCCACAGTTAATTTGCATAGGGATAAAGTGATAAGGTTTGCACAGTGATGAGATAATGTTGGTTAGTTTGTTGAAAATGATTAGATGTGATTGAAACGAACGGTGAAAACAGGCTCAAGGGGCTCAACGGGCTCAACAGCCCACTACTATGTTCGAAATCATTCCCCACTGTGCCCATACAAGCATTTTAAAAAGGGGGCATTAAATTGACATTACTTCCATGTTCAATGTATCAGGTTATGCACCATCACTAGGTCAAATAATATCAGGTCAGAATGCTTAATAGACAGTCTGACACCAGTCCTTTCGTTCTTCCCCTTTTAAACAAAGGGCCAAAAATACTAAATAAAAACCGAAAGAACGGCAGATGCTGTAAATCAGAAACAAAACAGAAGTTGCTGGAAAAACTCAGCAGGTCTGGCAGCATCTTTGAAGAGAAATCAGAGTTAACGTTACAGGACCAAAAATACTGCTCAGTTGTTGTGCTAATAAGCTCATGAACAATATCTGAATGAGACACAACAAGATGGGGGGGGGGGGAGAAACACGGTCGCTTTCCCTCAGGTGGGAAGTTTGAACCAAAAGGCAGGAAAGTGGCAAGCTACAAAGATGTCCATTTTGATCCATATCCAGAACCTTCAGCTGAAGGAATGTGCATTTCTGTAGCGCCATTCACAACTTCAGGATGTCCTAACCTGCTTCACAAGTAACAATATAGTACGCTGGAATGCAATGGCACAGTATCTGTAATGCATGTTGTAAGGCAAGTTGTTCACAGCAAAGCTCCCACAACTGGCAACACAATAGCCATCAAATAAGCAAAAAGCACTTCTTCAAAACAGTACCACGAGACCTTTCAATCCACTACTTCAATTGCACAATAGTTCGGGGAATCTTTCTCCCTGTGAGTCAACGGTTTTAATTTCTAGTTCATCTGGGATTTTGGATCCCATCAAAGTAGATTTTAAAAAGATTACTGCAGCTAGTGTTTGTAGAAGCTGACCGTGACACCTCCTTCAATCCTCAGCCTAAAGAATTTTCTTTTCAATAAAATAAAAAGAAGCTCCAAAATGAGCGTGGGTGCAAAACAAAAAGTTTACTTTCAAGAAGTTAAAGAGCATCAAGCCACAGGGTGGTAACACCTCAACTGATGATACATCAATGAACCAAAACCCTAAACTAACAAGCACTGCACAAACAAGTACGTTTCTGGAAAATTTTACAGACTCCAATACAAATTAAATTTATACTGTATTCTCCTGAAGATGTCCAAATCACACATTTAAAACAAAAGGGTAAAATAAATTTTACAATAATCAGCCACTGAAACCTGTTTTTAAATAAAGAACAAGAAAATACATTTTGAAATTCGAATTCTGTAATATTAACCTCCATCAAAAGCACATGGGCTGCAAAACTCAAAAGGGGCAGATGTGGATAACTGGACACAATGAGATGGTTAGACGCAGGGGCAATCAGATAAAGGGGTGAAATTTTTTTCAGGTTAAGTTTGAACATTAAAATATTTTACTCCGCCCTCTTCAATAGTAATTGTGTTGCAGAAGTACTGAAATACCACCCAAAAAAGGAACCGAGGAGGAAACGAAAGAGGAACATTAAATTTTCATCTGCTTAAGTCACTCTTTCCAAAATCTGTGAAAAATAAAATTCAAAAGCAAATGTGGAAATAATTTGTAACTTAACACAGAAGTGTAACTGGAACGGGCGAAAATTGAAGTTTATGGGGAGGGAAAGGGGAAAAAAAAAGTTTGGGGAAAAAGTTTGAAAATTGCAGTTATCACTCACCCATCCCCCACCACCACACATTTGATGGCCTGCATCTTCTAAAACTGGATGAGGTGTGATTTCAAGATGTCCAAAGGGGTTGAACTGGCAACGACAGGGGAAACAAGATGTCAGGAGAGAAGAGTCAGTGAAGACAGCACAGTCAAAAGAAGAAACAGGACACTTCACTGAAACTTCTCAGCTCACCACAGCCACCACCCAAAACCCTGTGCACTGAGCTAACACACAACATGAACTCTATCCCTTATTGGCCACCCTGTCCCTGTTTGCCTGTTTATTGGTCTGTCTAGGTGTCAATCACGCCATCACTTTTGCCCCACCCACCCGCCTGTGAATGTGACCCGCCCCTCTCTATCTGATTGGACGGTTCGCCCTCAGGGGCAGGGACAAGGTTGTCAATCTGGGATCAAAACTTCTCCACTTTTTTTTAAGTGGATATTATGCTGTTGGATCACGGCCCTGTTCCAAGTTTTGCATGCTTTTGTTTTGCATTCAACTCCCATTGAAATAAAATCCACTGTTTTGCTGGGGTTTTTTTTTGATGACAATTTGTTTTTGCTTGTCGCTGCTTATCCCAATACCAACCGGTGGAATCAAATTGACTGGATGGGTGCAGCTCCAACAACACTCTAGAAGTTTGACACTATCCAGGACAAAGCAGCCCGCTTGACTGGAACCACATCCACAAACATTCACTCCCTCCACCACCGACGCTCAGTAGCAGCAGTGTGTACCTTCTACAAGATGCACTGCCTAGAAATTCCTTAGATCCTTAGACGGCACCTTCCAAACCCACGATCGCTTCCATCCGGAAGGACAACAGCAGCAGATACATGGGAACACCACCACCAGCAAGTTCCGCTCCAAACCACTCACCATCTTGACTTGGAAATATCTCACCGTTCCTTCAAGGACGCTGGGTCAAAATCCTGGCATTCCCTCCCCCAAAGGCATTGTGGTCTACCTATGACACGTGGACTGCAGTGAGTCAAAGAGGCAGCTCATCACCACCTTCTCTGGGACAACTAGGCCCAGCCAGCAATACCCAAGCCCCACGAGTGAATGAAAAAAAAAATTGTCTCCCAGCTTTATTGTGTCGATGTACATGAAGGTCAGAGAGTTATTGTAGCATGGAAAGAGGCATTTCGGCCCAATCTGTCTGCACCAGTTACCCAGCATCCATGGAAAGATAGTTGCTTGATAACTAGGTCGGTCTTAAACAGTCAAGGGTTCAGGGTATAGGGAGAAGGCAGGAAAATGGACGTGAGGAACATTGGTTCAGCCATGTTTCTACCGAATGGTGAAACAGGCTGGAGAGGCCGAATGGCCTCCTCCTATTTCTTATGGTCTTATAGAAACATTGAAAATAGGAGTAGGCACTTTGGCCCATCAAGCATACTGTGCTATTCGTTATGATCATGGCTGACCATTCGACTCAACAATCTGTGCCTGCTTTTCTGCCATATCCTTCGATTCCTCCAGCCCCAAGTGCTATATCCTATTGTCTCTTGAAATCAAACAAAAGGATCTGGCTGTCGTGTACCCCAGTCAATGAAAATAGACAGGAAAGCTCAGCAAGCAATCAGGAAGGTACATGGTACATTGGTCTTCATCGCAAGAGGATTTGAGTTCAGAACAGGGATTTTTAACTGCACTTATCCAGGCCATTGGTGAGACCACACATGGAGTATTGCATGCAGTTTCAGTTTACCTACCCAAGCACTCTACTGAGTGCCCTGTTCACCTCTTTCAAATCTGAGATGAATAGTTCCTTGTAGCCAAATGCATTAAGAAATATGAGGCAAAGGCAGGTACATGAATGTAGGTTGTGGAGCAGTAGTTAGAAATATAGCAGCATAGAAATTAGATGCAGGTGTAGGCCATTCGGCCCTCCCAGCCTGCACCAGCATTCAATATGATCACGGCTGATCATGCAATCTCAGTATCCCATTCCTGCTTTCTCTCCATACCCCTTGAGGGATCATATGGCAAGGGCCATATCCAGCTCCCTCTGGAATATATGTAACAAACTGTCCCCAACAGCTTCCTGTGGGACAGAATTCCACAGGTTCACAACTCTCTGAATGAAGAAATTCTTCCTCATCTCAGTCCTGAATGGCTTACTCCTTATTCTTATACGGTGACCCCTAGTTCTGGACTTCTCCAACATCGGGAAGATTCTTCATGCATCTAGCCTGTCCCGTCCCATCAGGATTTTAGCGCTGCTGCCTCACAGTATCAGGGACCTGGCTTCGATTCCAGCCTCAGGCGACTGTCTGTGTGGAGTTTGCACGTTCTCCCTGTGTCTGCGTGAGTTTCTGCCAGGTCCTCCGGTTTCCTCCCTCAGTCCAGATACATGCAGGTTAGGGTAGATTGGCCATTGTGCTAAATTGCCCCATAGTGTCCAGGGATGTGCAGGCTAGGTGGATTAGCCATGGGAAATGCAGGTTTGCAAGGATAGGGTAGGGGGGTGGGTTTAGGTGGGATGCTCTTCAGAGGATTGGTGCAGACTTGATAGGCCGAATGGCTTCTTTCCTCACAATAAGAATTCTATGATCAGCCGTGGTCATTAAATGGTGAAACAAGATCAAGGAGCTAGGCCACCTCCTGTTTTCATCTACCCATCCTGAATGTGTAGACATTCCCAACAAATCATTAATTAGAAATAAACACAGAAAATGCTTGAGAAACTGAGCAGCATCTGTGGAGAGGAAGTAGACTGAACGTTTCAGGTCCAGTGGACCTTCTTAAGAGCTCAACCGTTAATTAGCCAACATTAAATTCAATGCATTTGACACCTGAATGGTACATTTACAAAAATCATTTTAAACTAGACTCTTGAGAGCTGCAAAATGTCCAGCATTCAGTATGAAAGCTAATACCTGAAGTATGCATTTATCGCCCCCTTCCTGATGTTGCTTGGCCAGCTGTACATCAGTTTTAGTTCATATCACTGAAGGCAGAGGATCGGAATTTGCACAGTAGGGCAAGACAGGACTGGATACTGGGCTGAATCCAGTAAACCCCACCTGGACACCATCGTGTGTTCAGAGGAATGACTGGCAGAGCTCCCAGACTTTTCTTTCGTAACAAACCTTTCCCCTATGGCACACAAATATCACAAGACCAAACATGTCAATAAAGAAAGAGCCTCCTGAAATTCCTAGGCCCTCTGCATATTAGGATAATTTGTAATCTAGGTGTATACAATACTGCCTTATTACTTTGTAACTCACCTGGCCTCTGTATAATTGGAATGTGGTCGGCCAGCTGGACCTCAGAATATGAACTCCCTGATTGGGGCTGTTAGCCCGGGCCAATCAGGGAGCCCTGGCTGACAGATATAAACAGGAGTGTCAGGCGTTCTGCTCGCTCTAGGAGCTGGCTCTGAGCTAACTGTGTCAGTGCCATGCACTATGCATGCGTAAATAAAGGGTGACTTGGTGACAGGATACCGGCCTTTGTGGAGTTATTTCAAACTCTGCTGGTCCTCTTATCTCTCTTGGCTTTGCAATCTTTCTTGTGTGCAGCAATACGTTGCTTAGTCATCTTGTGTCCAGGCCAGCAACATATGGGTCCAGTCCTATGCCTGTGAATTGAGCTCAAGAAAGACCCAATCTGCCATTGGACAGCTGCACTGTTGGAAGTGCTAACTTTCAGAAGAGATATTAAACCGAGGTAGACATAAAAAAAACTAACTTGTCAAATGAGTGCAGAAATTTCCTTCCAGATGTGTTAGGGTAATTCATCCCTCAATCAAGACTACTAGTAGAAATCATCTGGTCATCACCATTTACTTTTTGTGGATCACAGAGTCATAGAGCTGCACAGCACAGAAACAGATCCTTCAGTCCAATTCGTCCATGCCAACAAGATATTCTAAATTAATCTAGTCCCATTTGCCTGCATTTGGCCCATATTCCTCTAAACCCTTCCTATTCATATACCCATCCAGATGCCTTTTAAATGTTGTAATTGTACCAGCCTCCACCAATTCCTCTGGCAGCTCATTACATACATGCACCACCCTCTGTGTGAGAAAGTTACCCCTTAGGTCCCTTTGTAATCATATGTTGCAGTGTAATAACCCTACCTCTGGACCAAAAATTCCCAGTTTAAGCTCCACTCAAAGACTTGATGGCCGCACAATGTATTTTAATGCAGACAGACAGCTTGATTATCATTCAGCAAATCCCTCCAATACACTAATGGCAAGTAATCAGAGTGGGACAGTTACCTGGCGAAATACTCCACTGTTCTCCTCCTCTATGACACTCCTTCAAACCTAACTCTTTGATCCAGTTTTGTGGCCACCTGTCCATGTATCTCCTTGCATGGCTCGTTGTCAAATTTTGTCTGGTGATTCTCCTATGAACCATCACGGAATATCTTAATATATGTAAGATGCAAGTTGTCGTTGGTTACAGATGGCGCAACAGGATAAGTGACACAGATGCATAAAAGCATAAAATATTGTATTCTGCCAAACTAGCAATACTTAAATAATAGCAAGTCACAGGACACCAGGTTATTTGAAACTCTGAGATTTCAGAACGCTGCTCCTTTATCAGGTGAAGCAAACTTCAAATAAACCTGTTGGACTATAACCTGGCGTCGTGTAACTTCTGACCTTTTTTTTAATTCATTCACAGGATGAGGGTGTTGCTGGCCAGGTCAGCATTTATTGCCCATCCTTGATTACCCAGAGGGCAGTTATGAGTCAACCACATTGCTGTAGGGTCTGGAGTCACATGTAGGCCAGACCAGATAAGAATGGCAGTTTCCTTCCCTAAAGGACATTAGTGAACCAGATGGGTTTTTCCCAACAATCAGCACTAGATTCATGGTCATCATTAGAGTCTTAATTCCACATATTTATTGAATTCAAATTCTACCATCTGCCATGGCAGGATTTGAACCTGGGTCCCCAGAACATTACCTGGGTTTCTGGATTAACAGGCCAGTGATAATACTGTTAGGCCATTGCCTACCTTCTCCACCCCAGTCCAACACCGGCACCTCCACATCATAAATGTTAACAACACTATCTCATCTCTTAAGGGGGAGATGGTGGCCTAGTGGTATTATTGCTGGACTGTTAATCCAAAGGTAATGTTCTGGGGGCCTGGGTGCAAATCTCATCACGGCTAATGGTGCATTTTGAGTAAGGACGCGCCTCTGCTCTGCTTGTGCTTTTTCTTTCTTTCCCCCTCTCTCCTCCTTTCTCTCG